AAAAAAAAAGTAACCTGTGTGAACAGACGTTTTAGACTCAAAAAACGTATTCATAAAGTTGATTTTACAATATATTTTCAAACTTTCAAAACTTATAAAAATGTGATTTATTTCCTAAAATAAATAGATCTTTGCTCTTTAGGGAACTTCGAATGAATTCATAAAAATTCTGTTTTGTAAACAGTGAACAATAATTGTTGTTTGGTGCTTTTTATGTAGATGCTTAGAAAGTGGGTAATGAAGTTTTAATATGTTGGAAATTGTTTGTAAGATTTTGTAATTACAAAGTTTTTTGAACTTTAATGTACTTAACAAGAAACCTGGGCTCCGACAATTTTTTTCTACATTGAATTACAGCATTTAAAAGGAGGTATAAACAGCGAGGAACTGCACATTTTGGACGAACTAGTGAGATGCGAAACTATGAACAAATTTAAAAAGGAAGTAGGAGAAATTAGTGGTGGTTCGTCCAAACAAGGAGCTAATGACTTGCAGAAAAGCATGGATGTAATTTTTGTATTTTTCAAGACATAAATGAGTACTGAACCAAAACAGAACTAAATTTTTATATATTTTGTTCTACTGCGGTAGTCCGTAACAACATTTAAATATAGCCAGATTTTCTTTTGATTTGGATCTCAGCAAACCACCATGAACCACTAGCTCATACCATTGCAGAATACCTATGAAGAAATAGAGGCAGTTGTTAGCGAAAATACTCGCAATCTCCAGAAAGTACTAGATATATTTAAGAAATACAAAGAACACTATCTTGATACACTGAAAGAGGTAGTTATTTTCTATAATTTTTCTCTTTATTACACTAAAAATTGTAAACTGTGGTTAACTGAGTGGCGTGCAGATAGTACAAGATGCAACAAGTTTTATCCGATCGAACTTTTAGAAGGTAAAAGAAGGTGATTCTGTAATCCAGATTATACAATTACGAAAAAATACAGAGCTCAATGTGTTGAAAAGTCTCGAACAGGAACTAATTCAGATGGGTCTCGGACCATCTGCAAAGAGCTGGATACAGGAAATGAAAACAGTGGAGGGAAAGTGGTGTAAGCAATAAAAAAATTATTAGTTCCTAATGGTTCTGCAGTACGAGATAAGCGTCTTATCACCGCAAAAAAACATTTATGCATAAGCCATTTAGCGCCTTTAAAAGAATACTAAAACGGGTTTCCAAGAACAGTTGTAAAATGTTTTCTTAAATATTTTGCGTATAACGTGATCTTTGTGTTTCCTAATTTGTCGGAAGTGTCAATTTTCAGGGATGGCCGACGACCCTGATTTGGTTATGATAGCGAAGAAG